ATAAATAGCTAGTCTATTTCACCTCCTACCATCCACCATTCTCCACTCGAACAACCAAGCCACATTCTATGTATTGCTATTACCCCCGCTACAAGCCATCACCCAGCCACATCGGCCGAAACAACAAAACGAATGACACCAGGCGATGGTGATTGAGCTGGCATGCACAAAATATTCGATAAAATAAAAGGAGAAAAGGAGAAAGAAATACAAACCCCTAAAGGAATTATTCGCCGTGAGCCACTACATGCCACTACATCTCAACCCCCACAGCAACCAGAAAGAGTGCTTTAATCTCCCCAAAACCAGCTTTAGCATATTTTATATACCCACCATCACCGCCAACGTTAGCCAGCTGCTAGAATAGTCGAGTGATTATTCGTGACTTAGAAATGTTCTGCTGGTTATCATAATAATAATTATTATGATATTATCTAGGTGCTGGAAGTAGGGCTACCATCGCCCAACGACAAAGCCCGCACCCTCCTTGGAATTTCCTTCAGGGCAGGTTGAAAAACCAGTCCCAATGGCACCGACTTCAATGGCACAAGCCGGTCACGAGGCTCAAGGCCGGTCGACGCTAAATTCAATGGCGATGCCTAAATCCTTCCCTCTAGACTACCAATGGCTCGAGTGTGAATGGCCAAATGGTCCCAGGCATGCCTAACACAGCGGGCACTCAATAAATGGCCCCGTAGAGCTGCTTCCGGGAGGAGCTCAATGGCGCCGGGCCTATATTGTGATGGACGGAGGGAGGAAATTTTGAGCACTCCTGATATAAAATAGTTCTATATTCCATCTTCCTCCACTCTTTCTACCCATCTAAGTCCTTCCTTTCTCACAGCTTTTATTGCATCTCGAAACGGCGGTTCAAAAACCTTTCTCTCACGCATACCTCCCTTCCCTTCACCGAATCACCTCATCTCGCAAAAAAAAAAAAAAAAAATACTCTCGCATTTAAGCAATTGTTTTCCATATCCCCCAACATTACTATACTCACCCTACCCGAGATACGAAACCGCCCTCACCATCCCGACAAAAACCCGAAAAATGGGCAACATCCTGACTAGGGTCGTAACCCGCCCCGATAAAAACCTCAACACCCGACTAGATGCTATGGTCAAAACACTCGGAGGAAAACAAGCCATATTCGAAGCCCACACCAAGTATATCAGTCTCCTACTCACCAGCTTGGAAGAACAAGTCGCAAAGGATCTCGAGCTCAGGCAAAAGATGATGGAATTGCTCGTGAGCGCCAAGGCGCTGAAGAAGAGGGTCAGGAGGTTGGAGGCTGCGGTGAAGAGGGAGAAGAGGAGGCAAGATATATTGAAAATGAAGGCTGCGAAGAGGACGGGAGTCGGGCCTGGGGTCCCTATGACGAGGGGGAAAAATATGAAGGGGAAGGGGAATGTGAGGGGTAGGCCAAGGCCCAGGTTGACCAAGGATTAATATCATAGATTTATCCTAGCTATTTCGACATAGAGAGGTCTAAGAGGGGAAGGGTATAAATAAAGAGAAGAAGCGGGGGGGTTGCGTTTGATGGTGTTTATCGCGGGGAATTCGGAAGCTTTGTATGATAGCTCGTTGGGGGGGGGGGGTTGTACACAGATATTTTTTGTATCAATAACCCACACATCCCTTACCCAAGACATAAGCAATCGAGAAGCCCTGTGAATCAAACCCCATAGGCGAAGAAAGCAACCTGAAAAAAACCAGGTGTCATACGGTAAAGCTTTGCCAGGGACCCTGATGGAAAAGAACCTCTGCAGTGTCAATTACAGGGTGATCACTAGTCATCTGCACACCTTGACACCAAGGTCCGGTCAGACACCCTGAGAAGCATCCCTTCTGAGCAGCTCCGACGAGCCCTAGCCTTCAAGGGAAAGTGGAAGGCGCGCCTCCAACCCCAGAGGAGAAAGTTTACCTGGACCAGCGCGAGGAGCATGAGAAGGATCGGGAGGCTAGTTGGAGCGCTGGGGAGTCCTATGAAGATGGCGGCCCACCGTGCTTCGCGAGCGCATGCCAGCCCCCAAAGCAAGCATCGACAAGCCTTCCTCAATGGCAGCTATGATACTACCTAAAAACACCAATATTGGAAGGCACGCCTCAGTGTCTGTGATTTTCTCACGATCAGGGAAGAATAATTCGAGTATCCGGCTTGCTGGGGGTTCCAGCATTTGGGTTGCGGTTTAGCATTTAACCTAATGCAAGTCCGAGGTGACGCTTTTGTCCGCCACCTTGAACTCGCCAGAGTTGTTCCAGTTTCCCAGTTGCTAAAGCACCATATTGAGTAGCCCAAGCTGTCTTTTGGAATGCACGATAGGTTAACGAGGACTTCACCACTAGAGGGTAGACCGAAGCTGCTATGGAGTATCACACTATCCTTTTTTATTTGTAGAGAGGTTTAATATACCTCTCGAGTGATCCACCATGAAGAATGCTTATCCAGACATCTCACTATCTTCCCTGGTATATCCCAGCTCGGGCGGAAAGGGCAAATGCACCCCTCAAAGAAGAACAAGGAGGGTCTCTCCATCGTGATATTTCTCAAGGCAGCTCAACTCTATGGACTCCCCACCCCCTTGCAGTAACATAAGCGCCGTGGCCCTAAATACAGTCAGAGCCGATACAACTAGGCCGGCAGTCTCCGGCACCAAAGGGCCCCGCGCTACTATGATCTCAGAGCCCTCTCCTCCACCCTAGCAACGACCATTAATGCAACCAACGCCACTACCACCAACCTCTCCTCAATCCCAGGGATCCCCCATGGACCCCACTTTCGCCCCCTTTACCTCTACTCATACGATATCTTAATCGAGAGTAAGGAGGATATTGTGCCCTGCTGGTTTACTCTTACGAATATACTTCCTCAGTTTCCACGAAATGATTTCGGCCCAGGGAAGTGAATAGGTTTAGGTGTATCATACGAGAAAAACTTGCCTTGAAGTAGCTAACAAGTTGTATGATAGCTGGAAAAAAGCAAAAGAATAAATGGAAAGGAAATGGATGGCTATGAGATTCGGCACAGTGAGAGGTGGGCCATAGAGAGGGGTAGTACCGCAGGGGGTCTATAGAAAATAGAGGGTTGAAGATGAGGTAGCGATCGCACAAAAGGATTTCATTGGAGCGAAAAGAAGCAGTTGAAAAAGGAGTTGGTAGATATCTCAAGAAAAGCAGCCAGAAGAAAGAAATGGAAAGACACGACAAGGATGAGGGACGGCCGAGGGAAGCGAGAAGGTAGGTGACCGTTAAAAGTGGAGGAGTTGAGGATCAATATAATGTTTGGACTAATGTATTTTACCGAGTGAAGGGGAAATGATTCAACTAAAGGAGAGTAATTTGTGTTGAAGCTATTGAGGAATTGTGAGATGGATTGACCAAAGAGAGGAAAAGAAAAGAAAATAAAGACAAGGAGGAAGGAAATTTGGGTACCCCATGAGCGCATACACATACTGCTGCGTATGCTACTAGTGCTGGGGTTTCGAATAGGGACAGCAGGGGATAGGATGAGTGACATTTCGTGATTCTGCCTCTCGGTCTCCCTCTCTACTCTTGCTTTGTTGTTTCCTGTATCATAGTGTGGCGGCGCCGTTGTGGTAAGCTTAGAGTGGGCGAGGTTAGGTAGGAACGTTTGGTAGAGGCAGTCGTAATATTCCGTAATGATTGCGCAGGTGGCCCCCTGGTTTTTTTTCGGTCTTCTGAGGAGTATCTTTTGTCAATATCGTGAGCCAAGAGTTATAGAGCACGTTAGCAAGGAGATCTCGTTGCTGATGTATATTCTGGTCACATTTTTAATATTTATGGGTTCCTACTGCTGATGCTATTTCCTCAACTATCAAATGCAGGTGCATGCAGACTGAGTCGTTTTCTCAAACATCAGAGAACTACGAGTATATCATACTTCACACCTTCCACCACTATAGTGAAATGCATACGAGGCCAATGACGGACATATGTTTACCCATCCCAAGTAAGAACCATCTCATCCCCTTGTTGGGAAGCCGCACTTGGTATGGAAAATACCCGCACTCTGAGACCGCAGTAGTATGCGTATCCACCGGTGGAGAGACGCAACCCATGAAAGGTTTTTCTCCTAGATGTTTTTTCATCCCTCGCCTTGGTCTCCCTCCCTATTCCCAACTTCCCCCTCCGCTCTCCCTTCAACCTGTCCAACTGGGCCAATCGTGAACTTCATTGTTTATCATCACCTCGGCTTTCATTCCTACCAATATCCCCACCGCCTGTTGTGGTCCCCGAACCCACCCCCATTTCTGACTATGAAATCCAAAATCATAGCCTATTGGGAGTTTTGCATGACTGCGGTTGCTAACTTGGTCCTAATATTTTGTCCAGCAATGATCAAGGAAAACTTGAATGCTAAAACAGTAACCACGTTGATTGGGGCTTGTGCCATGGAGGGGATCCAATTGGCTTTCGAAGGGAGGATTGGGGAAAAAGAAGGGGATCCTCAAAGAGAAGGATTTGGGGGAAAGGATGGAGTCCAACAGGCTTCTGGGGAAAAAGGTGCGGGTCGAGACACAAGGGGAGGAAAGGATTCGCGATGAGAGAATAACGGAGCAAGTGAAAGCCGCAGCGCTTGCTGAGTTGCGGGGCCCTGGTGCTAGACGCTATCGTGACGTGTTGGCCATGGGGTTGGACAAGGTGGGGAGGGTGTGTGGGTGAGGGGGTGAGGGGGGATAGCATGGTGTTCCCGGAGTTGCTTGTCATATCAATGGACTCGTATTGGCAACGGAAAGGTATAGATGAGCCGGAGTATGATACTTGCTCGTGCAGTAAAATCTTGGCAACATATATGCCAAGGCTCTCATAAATATTTGATTCAAGTGCAGTTTGTTTTTTGGACTAGCCACCTGTCCGCCGAACTAGGTATCATAAATCTCCCCATTACATGGGCCCTGCTAGACCGGAAGAGCATGTTGGGGTGTTTCCGTAGCTGTGATAACAAGACTTAGGGTGACACATTTTTTTGATTTAGCCATGGAAGAAAACACTACGGTATTGGGTCGGTCTAAGTAAATTATGATAGACCAGCCGAACATGTATATCACCTCAAAAATAGCTATTATTACAAATGCTATTTCACGCTAGCTATAGAATCCAACATCATTCACCTAGGAGTCCATCCTAGCAGCGATTCTCATCAATCTCACCTCCTGCCTCTCCCTCCACCTCCCCCCCGCATACCTCTCCCACCTCTTCCTCCACCGCCTCTACCCCCACCACCTCTTCCCCCACGTGGATAACTCCCACCTCCATTAGCCACAAAACTCCTGTACTTCTCCTCCTTTCCTTCACTCCCTGGCGGCGCAAACCTAGTCCCATCCTCGATCTCCAACAATTCACAAAACGCCGTCGTCTGGGTATTAACGTAGCTCTCCGGCAAGCGGTCCTCCCGGGCAGTCAGACTACCTTCATGAATAGGCGCAGTGATCTGAAAGTTCTCGGGGACATCCAACTTTCCTTTTGCAACAATATTTTCTTCTACCCACCTCCGCTCTTCGGCAATCATCGGGCCGATAGCTTCCTTAAAGGCGTCGGAGTTGAGGGCTGAGGGGTGTTTGTGGAGATAGGGGTTTAAAACGCGGGTTATTGCTAGCCATTCCGGATCATAGGAGAGGCCGGGCTTGGATTTTGTAACGGGGATTGTGAGGAGTTGGAGGAATTGGCGGTGGGGGAGACACTTATCTAGAGCTAAGAAGTTGGTAACCTTACTTTTGCCGGTCAGGGTGCTTGCTGGCCCGACCAGGGAGGGCTGAGCATCCTCGGATTCTGCAGCCGAGGCAGACTCCCCAGCTTTGGCGTCTTCGGGAACCGTGATTTTCAGGGAAACTCCCGCGTTGTCTGGAGAATGTCCATAAATATTTGGTTCGATTTCATCCTCACTCCCCATTGGAGCCGTCGTTTCGGGCCTCCCATCAAGGTCCAATTCAATCTCATCTTGATTTACTACTTTAACTTCCGCAGTCTCCGCTAAATCCATATCCAAATCCAATTCATCAGGGTTCTTCTCTACGGGGCTAACCGCCCTCTCTTTCCCCTTTCCTTGAATTTGCACCGTCACTTCCTCCTCGCCCTCCTCCTGGGACTTTCCATGATCCACTAGTGCGGCAAACTTGACATGCAGATGGGCAGAAAACCAATACCTTGGTTTCAATTTATTCAGTAAGCTTCTTGCAGGCGGGCTTCCCAACTCTCCCTTCTCAATATCACTCCTGAAAAAACTCTTCCGCCTAAGAAGCTCATTCAAATCGCCATGGTGTTCGATTCCACTTGGCCAATCATGGCTAATCATAACATCTACAGGCTCATTGATCTGATAAAGTTTGAAGACGTCGTACTGCCGAACGTGGTAGATGCTTTTTATCTCGCTCGGGAAATATGGTAACCGCTCGTCACGTAGGCGGGCATAATCCCGCCCGTTGTAAATCCCACTCAGGCCACCAATCCTCAGCCCTCGGAAGTTCATGACGGAAGCAGCGCCCAGGTAGTAGATGTTTGGAGCAACCCAACCACCGTATAGCAATTCCCAGAGGTGAGAACTAGCCTCATGGTTCCCACCAACGAATACAGTAAGCATTGGAGCCTTGCGGACACCTGAGTAGTACTCGTGGAAATCCCCTAGAACGCGGTATTTTGGTGGACAAGACATGACATTGAGATCCCGCAGATTTCGGACCGCTTGGAAGTCCCCGCCGATGATGAGGAGGTCTACCAGTGGTAATCTACTGATCTTGCAGGTACGTGCTATCGAATCGTAGATCGCATTTAGGGTCCCATGGCCCTGCGACTGTCAGAAAAGGGACAAGAGGGGAAATGTAGCAGGGCAATACTTACGCAGCCCTCAACAGCAATTTGAATTGCTGACATACCGCCTTGGCGAGTTGTTGACGGATGATGGGAAGAGTGAGAAGGTGAAGGGGGTGAAGAAGGTGAAGGAGGTGAAGGGATGAAGGGATGAAAGGGATGAAGGGATGAGGGTAAACAATGTCTTTGTGTAATTTAAGCCTATCATACCCGCTAATTTCGGCAGGAAATCTGCACGCTGCATATCTCATCCGAACCTGCCGCTCTTGACTCGATTTCAGGACAAGTGTGGAATTGGTGAGCCTCATCTTGGCAAGAGATTCTCCTTAATCCTGACGAAACCCCTTTCTCAAAACAGCCCTCAGGTCCGGGGGCTGAACAAACTCTGTGTTACAGGATGGCTGAACAATATCTCTTGGGAATATTAACATACAAGATCTTCGTTCATGAAAAAACTCCCTTAAAATCGACTATACACTCAGACCAAAAACGCCAACTCGGTGGTGGAAACCCTATAACCCTCTGCTATCACCATCGCCAATCCTATCCCTCTGTCGAACCAATAATCTAGGGAGGTGCGAACAGGTCTGCCTCTCGTGCCTCCCTTTATTTTGCCCCCTTTCCACCGTCTCTCGGCCAATCAAAATCACTTAGATCAACATCCCGAACAGAAGAGATCCATCTGTCTACATAAAACACTAGAATTCTTAGGCTCCATCAACAAAATGGAACACACAATCGATTTAACCGATCCTCGTTCTGCCTTGGACCTCTCAAACATCCGTTACCAGCTAATGTCTCCTCCCCCCCTGCCCCTACAAATGCGCCGCTTCCAAACCCCACTAATGCATACCCCAGTCGCCTCGAAGACACCATCATCTTTCACTTGATTGAGCGGGTTCAGTTCCCCCTGAACCCAACAGTCTACATGACCGGTGCCATCACAATCCCAGACTTCTGCGGTTCCTTCCTGGACTACCTTCTTATGGAACAGGAGAAGATTCACGCTCTAGTCCGCAGATACCAAGCACCAGACGAGTACGCATTCTTCCCGAAGCTGATCCCATCGCCCATTCTAGCGCCCTTGAGATACCCTCAATTACTGCACCCCAACACTGTCAACTACAACAATAAGTTGAAGGCTGCGTACATCAATCACATCTTGCCCGCAGCCTGTAAGCCACAGTTAGCAGATCGTGGAGAGCAGTACGAGAATTACGGAAGCACAGCTGTCAACGATGTTGCCTGTTTACAGGCGCTCAGTCGGAGAATCCACTTTGGAAAGTTTGTTGCCGAAGCAAAGTTTCTGGCTGAGAAGGAGAAATTCACGGACCTGATCCAGCGGAGGGATATCAAGGGGATCATGAGGGAGATTACGAATGAGGCTGTTGAGAAGCAGGTACTTTGCAGGCTGGAATTAAAGGCCAGAACTTATGGCACAGATCCTGGGGATAATTCTAAGGATCCGAAGGTCAAAGTCAACGTCGACGCTGTGGTTGCAATGTATAGAGTCTGTGATCCTCCCGCCACCTAGTGCGAAAGCTACGTTGCTAACCCTTTTCACAGGATTACGTTATCCCGATGACCAAAGAGGTTGAGGTGGAATACCTTCTCCAACGACTCGCTAACCCCACCCCCGAAACCGTCAGCAAAAACCCGCTTCTTTTTCTCTGGCTCCTTTCTTTCTGGCTCCTTTCGGCTGCAGGAATATTTTTTTCCTTCTTTTCTTAGAGTCCCGGACCAGCTTTCCTTGGGACGTAGAATTCAATTGCGGTGACTTGGTTTTTTCTACATGCATTATGACATATCACATCAATCGCGTACGATACCGGTACTGTGCTCGCATTAAAAGGAATATCCCCGAAACCACAATGAGAGAAATGCCCGAAGACGTCATAAGTGATCACTCGGGAAATTACTTGCCTTCCAGTATGGTACCCGGTAGATTAACTTACCCGCGGTTCGGAAAGCCACCGACGCCCAGTGATAGTCATATGTCTGGGTATTATATTAAAAAGGCATTATCGTACTACCGGTACCACTTTACATATCAATCGACCCGTGCATTTCGGCGGAATAATACTGTAGTTAAATCAAGTAATAATTACAATTCTTCCTCAAGAAAAATAAAACCAATTCCCCAGACGCAAATACTCAACCCCCAAGGCAGCGCACCAGCGCAGAAAAAAAAAAAAAAAAAAAGAGGTATCATAAAAAAAAAGGTAAAAAAAAAAAAAAAAAAAAAGGTAAAATCTATGATAATACTACAGACGACCCTCGCATAATCCCAAACTCTAACCACCATCCCAGTCTAGAGATATTTAAGGAAACCGGAGGGAAAAAAAATGGAAAGTATCGTATCATAGAAGAAGCGTTCTTCTAACAAGCGGTGAAACCACCCTCCTTAGCATCGCAAACCCTACCCGCAACAACCCAAGGCCCGGAATCGGCGGATCCCCAATTGAAGGCGCTCAAAGCGTTCGCCTCGGAGCTCCCGGGCGCAGTGTTGATCAAGTCGGATCTAGTGGGGAGGTACCTAGGGGGATAATTTAGTATTACAATATAACCCCAAAGTCAATAGCAAATAGGACAGAAACATACCACCAATCCGCAGACCTGAACTCCCGACCGCAGCCCTGCGAAGCCTCATCGTTCCAACCGCTGTTTCTCTGAGCGAACATGGCGTGCTTGCCCCAGCCGACGTAGATCTTTGCTCCTTCCTTGTCCTGCCCGCCCTGCTCGTCCGGGTTGCTGTAGTCAAAGGTGTTCTGGACCGTGTTCCAGTTATCGTGCATGTAACTGTCCGCTGTTAGAAGGTTCTCCTATAATTGGGACTACTAGAAGAACGGGATGAGTGCCGTGGGGGGGGGGGTTTACCCGGTATGGAAACTCTTGAGGAGTTCCTTGCGGTACCATTGGTTGTTCTCACGGCGCCAGATGACGATTATACGTTCCCAGTCATGCACTAACGTTCGAGCGGTCAGAATCATAGCCTGGGCAGCAGGAGCAGGAAGGAGAAGGAGGAGAAGGAGAAGGAGAAGAGACATACTATGCCCTTTAGCAATGACTCCATCACTAAACCCGTCGTGCGAGAAGTATATGTGATATGCGACCTATATATCCTCAAGTGTTAACCTCCCGTTCCACCATCTCAAGTGAGCAGGACCCACCCTCAATTCATCCGCGCCACAAGAATTAACTGTATAGTATGTGGGGAAAGGTTTTCCCGGGCCGCCCGGACCAGGGTCTTCACATCCAGTCCCTGCGTGGGGGAACCTATCCGGGTTCGTCCCGTGCTGGTTGCCGCCGATCAGGGCCGCCGAGGGATAGCACGGGTTGTTTCCCCTGGACTTGCCGAAGTGCCACAGACTGGAGATCTCCCGGTTAATATGCATGCCCGCGTAAAAAAAGAAAAGAAAAGAAAAGATGAAGAGGAGGAAAGGGGGGGGGGTAACTCACGGTCGACTGGCGAAGGCGATTTCGAAACCAGCATTGCTCGACATGTCATTCTGCACAAAGGCGTCGTCCAGAGGGACATTTGCGAGGGCCTTTGGAAGGAGCGCCAGGCCCAATGCTGCGAATGCTGAGATTCTCATCTTTTTTTTTTCTCGGTGGTATTCGTGTGGATGTCTTGAAGGGGTCTCGATATCGTTGAGTGTCTGTTGCTCTGATTGCTTGCTTGTCTGAATTCTTTGACTGATGGATACTTCTGCTTCAACTGGCGATGGATCAACTTTATATACTCGATCCATTGTACCAGCTTTCCTCTTCACATCTTGCTTTTTTTTTTTTTTTTTTTTTTTTTTTCCTCTTCTTACTCTTCTTCGTGAAGGTCATCTGCTGTATTGGCGCTGCATAGATGGAGCGATTCCCAAATTGGAGGCATGCCTCCTCGCCCGTATTGCTAAAAGTCAGCGAGTGCTCGATTCCGGTCCTTTGTTCATTTCGCAAATGTTCCTGCTTCGTCAACTCAGCCTCCAGGCTGTAACCCGGTGGACTGGCAATCGCCCGAAGCGGTAGTGGAAGCGAGACGGGCCTCGGCCGTGAGATGTGATCCTATTCTCGCCAGGCGCCTATCGATATCACTCCCTAGAGTAAATTTAGGTTAATCCTTTCCAATATATTTTTATTTTTTCAATACCACGTTTTTACCCCCCGGAGAGGGAAAACTATGTACAAATATTAAAGTTCGGGAGTATTATTATTGTTATTATTATCACTATTCCGGTAAGTGTCCAGTTTTGACAAATTGTGTGACAAATTGTGTGAATTCAGGACCTTTTCAGTCTTACTGTGTCATTGACGATGAGTGATTTGCTGTGATAACCTTGTGCTGTCTGGGCATTTTCGGAGTTGGTTAGGTGCATGGCGAGTGGATACCATACTAGCAGTTTCTCCAGAAGGAGCTACCCGGCAATACCTCAGTTTAGACTATCACAGGGGAGATAGGTTCTCTCCATATTCACATTTCGCTGGGAGGCTTTTGGTTTTTTTCACTGGGCGGGTAATTCCATTGACTTTGATTACTCTCGGCATTTCAGGTAGTGGACAAGAGCATCTGTGGCCACTCCCGATTTGGTGGGTTCCCGTTGGGCGACAACAAGATCAGCTAATTTCGATATAACTTTGGATAATACCCAACGCAGGGTACTGTACCAATACAATGGGATTCCTGGAGAACCATCTCCAGGTATGATACAAATGCCGTAGTCTATTTCCTCCGCCCCTTAAGGCAATGTTATCAGAGTGGCTCGGGGTTGGGTGCTACAGTAGTGTTTTGTAACTTAGTTGCGATGCAGGGCGCACGCAGAGTACAGTACTCGTACTGTACCATCTCATCATACGGTACACATGTCCAAGCGCTATGTATCGACAAATCCTAGGAAAGGGTGACAGCTATGAAGGACTACCGGTATGCACCCGTGGCGCACCCAGTACCACCACCATCGTGTAACTCTCCCAGCCCACGGTTGAAGGCGAAAGTCCCCTCCCCTCCTCCCATGAGAACGAATCCAGCACGATCACCGCCACCTCCGGGGCGCCAGGAGAAGCGGAGTAATCCAGCAAAAGGTCCCACTACCATGGGGGGGGCGAGTATATACCGCACAGTACTATACCTGTACGAGTGCAGTACATCGCAAGTATAGACGACCCCCAAATCACCCAAGCGCATTCACCGATGACCGCACCGCCATAAGCACGTTAGGGTAAATACCTGGTCCCCAAGAAAGAAAGAAAAAAGAAGAGTCAAGATCTCATTTCCCCCACCCGGGAAAAAACACATTTTGCCAAGCTTAACTTTGCTATTCTCAGCGGGCAGTGCTACTGTATCCCCATGTTATTCATTCATTCATTCATTCATTAACCCCCTTTGTTCTTTTGCCGTCAGTGGGTGCATAAGTCGCTACCGGCTATGGCGTCGTTGTCGTCAGCGGTACAGTACAGTACATTGCTTATTCAATTTTAAACGCTTTAAAGTGCCCACAAGCGCACAGACCATGAACAGGGTACAGTACTGTACCGGTATTACACTTGTAGGTTCATTTTCGCTGCGCTGGATAATACAGATGAGTCAACAGTCATATCATCAATCCGGTGGGCGATCCCTTAAATTTGTAATACTCGTACTTGTACTGTACAGTACTGTACTGTACCCCCCCCCCCCCAACTCCACCGGCAAGACATGATAGAACGATAAACAATAAGTGCTTACCCCATCGATCCGCCGCCTGCCAAGGCATTTCTGGTTAGAATCGCGTTTCATGAGTCGAGTGATGGGGGTACGCTCCGCGCGCGCCACCGGGGGAAATGCTATACTGTATCATACACGGATAGATAGGAAATCATTCGGGCTGAGCAGTGTATCGTTGTATATACTGTGTTTCCGAAAATATTTTGAAAGCATGGTCGCATAAGATCATCTATAGAGGAGGTATCCGTACTGTCCTGAAGACGGATTGTGCACGGTATTCCCATGTGCGCCTTCCTACTAAGCTCCCTTACCAAATCAACCGTGGATGGCTATATAAGTATGATATGATATTCGTGAAACCAAGGCGGAGACACACACACACACACACACACACACACACACACACACACACACAGTCTCCTTCTTTTCAACTCTGAGGGTTAGGTGTATCGGTGCGGTGTTCGGGGGGCTCACCCAATCAAACGCCCTTGAAGAGCTTCTCGCGATGGCTTCAAGTCTTTAACTTCCCCACCTTCGGAAGGTTCACGTTTCGTGCTCCGTTGGCTCGCTTTCTTTTGTTTGCCTATTGATACGGCACCGAGTGGACCTCACGGTCCTTATTTTCCCCCACGTTCTTTTGCTCTTGCTTGTCGGTCGGACGTCCTTGGTTTCCGGCCAGGATACAGTTGGTCGTATGGGGAGGCCGTCCTCCCCCCCTCTTCGGAGCGACCGTTCGGACACTCATGCGTTTCCGGTTCCTCCTTGGTCCTCCTTCTCGCCTGCTTGGGCCTTTAGGGCCTTGCGCCCCTCACTGTCTTTTCCCAGCTTCGAGCTGGGCCCCCGCGCGAACCCGGTGTTCCTGAACCCCTATGGGGGGATGGCTTTGACCCGGAGAAATTGACCTTCGCCACCCCCTCTTTTGGGTGTGGCCCGACTGGTGCGGCGGTGCTCCCTTTTTGGGGTGCGGCTGCGATTTTTGTGGTGGTTTGCTGGCTTGGCTTGGCGGAGGAGGGGTGGCCCGGATGCAGCATCCCGGTCTCGTCACGCGGCGGTGTGAGAACCGTAGAAAATAAGTGCT